GGTGGGGACGGGGCGCGGGCGTCGTTCCTGAGGGATCACCCCGAGGTCCTTGCGAAGTACACTGAGGGCCTGCTGCCGCTGCTGCTGCAGGTGGGCACGGCGCCCGGGGTGGCGGGCGACACCCAGGGGCGTGGGCTGGACACATCGCAGGGGTGGCTCACAGTTGCAAGAACGCTCGAGCAGTCACCTGAGCATTCTCACACCTGGTCCCTAGTGCAGGGCATGTGCCGCCTCCCGGACCGCAAGCTGTTGCCCCACCCGCCCATGCTGCGGGTTCACCAAACATGACTCCTTTTCACTGTCGTGCAACCGACCACCCCTCCCTGCCCTCGACCAGGTCTACAGCAGCACCGTGCTCCCGGGCGTGCGCCACCGCTGCCTGGCGACCGTGGTCAAGGCGCTGTACTTCTCCACGCCGCAGCAGCTGGAGGCGGCGCTGGCGGACCTGCCGATCAGCAGCTTCATCGCGTCGCTGCTGGGCGGGCGGGACGCAAAGGCGCAGGCGTACGCGCTGCAGGTGAGGGGGCGGCGTGGTTTTACACGTGATCAGGGGCGCTATTGTTGCGTGTGTGCGGCACGGAGAAAAAAACGTGTGTGTGCAAGCGTGCACGTGTGTGTGTATGTATGAATGTATGTATGTATGTATGTATGTATGTATGTATGTATGTATGTATGTATGTATGTATGTATGTATGTATGTATGTATGTATGTATGTATGTATGTATGTGTGCGTGTGCGTGTGTGTGTGTGTGTGTGAGTGTGTCTGTCTGTCGCGTGTGCGTGTGTGTGTGCATGCCTAGGCAGGGGTAGTCATGGCACAGGGAACACAGAGTTTGTCTCCTCGTTATCCCAACGCCAAGTACCTGGACCCCCCTCCCACAAACACACCAGATGGGCGAGCTGCTGATGGAGCAGCTGCCCCACATCTTCACGTCCTACTTCATAAAGGAGGGTGTCGTGCATGCGATACAGCAGCTGGCCGAGCAGTCGGCGGCCGCCCGCGGCGCCGCAGCAGCAGCTGCAGCGGCCCCTGCCTCTGCAGGCGCCGGCGACGCCGCCGGTCCCTCAAGGGCGGCGGCCGCGCCAGCGCCAGCGCAGGGCGGTGGCGAGGGCGCCGGCGGCGTGGCGGGGCCGGGGTCGCCGCCGTCGCCGCCTGTGACGCGGTCGCGGCGCTCTTCCCAGGGCCAGGTGCGCCTCTGACGGGTGCTTGCGTATGGGGACGGCATGCGTACGCGTGGCGCTTCCTCATGCTTTTCTGCACACCTTCCCTTGCTCTGCTTTGCCTCTCCTCGCCGCGTGGCTTGCCTTCTCGTTCAATTCAGTGGGTGCGACTGACACCCGCGAGCGCACATGGCCTCCCAGTGCCAAGGCCATCCGACGGTCGCTGTCATACCTTTGCATGCACCAACTCAACCGCCCGCGGCCCGGCCCTGCTGATCACAGGCCAAGGCGGAGCCCCGTGAGCCGTCAAGGGACGTCCGGGACGCGTCCCGCGACCGCGCCTCCCCGGATTCCGCCCGCGGCGACGCACTGGCGGCGCTGCAGCAGCTCCAGCAGCTGCAGCAGCAGCAGCAGCAGCGCCCGCCGTCGCGCGCCGGCAGCGTGACGCTGCGCGAAGCGGTGCTCGCGCGCGCAGGCAGCTTCAAGGACGCCCACTTCCCGGCCGCGGGTGGCGGCGGCGGCGACGCGGGCGGCGCGCTGCTCGAGAGCGACGCCCTCCGCGACCTGCGCGCCGCGTGCGCGGCGCTGCCGGGCGCAAGCAGCGGCGCTGGCGACGAGGAGGGCGGCGGGGGCGGCGCGCTGCCGCGGCTGCTGGCGCTGCTGACGGCCGCCGACCTCAGCGTTTTCGAGCTGCTCACCAGCGGCGCGGTCAAGGCGCTGTCGGACTTCCTGCGCGGCGCAGACCTGCCCGCAGGCGCGGCAGGCGCCAAGCGGGACGAGCTGCTGCTGCGCCGCCTGCGGCTGTTTGCGCTGCACGCGCTCGCCGCCGGCGGCGCCGGAGCTGGCGCCGCGGCAGGCGGCCCTCCGATGCTGGCGCTCGTGCGGAAGCTGCAGAGCGCGCTCTCGTCCACGGAGGCGTTCCCGGTGGTGTGCAGCCGCGCCGGCGGCGGCGCGGGCGCCGGCGGCGCGCGGTCGCTGGGGCGGTCGGGCAGCATGGGCGGGAGCTTTGGGGGCGGGGGCGGCAGCCTTGGCAGCGGGCTGCAGGCGCTGATGGAGCCGTTCAAGCTGAGGCTGGTCCGGCACCCTAATGTGAGTGTTGGGGTGGTGGAGGGGCGCATATGCTGTCGGGAAGGGAGGACAGAGACTGCATGAGTGTGCGTGCGGATTTGTGGTTGTGCGTTGTTGTTGAAGATGTGTGTGTGTGTGTGTGTGTGTGTGTGTGTGTGTGTGTGTGTGTGTGTGTGTGTGTGTGTGTGTTTGT